CCCCTTCGCCCCCCCGGCCTCCCCCCGTGCTTTCCTCCACCCGCCTCTGCGTCCTTCAGTTTAACTGCAATGGGATCCAATCCAGCGCTGTTGAACTGGCTGCCTTCCTCGTACAACACGATGTTGCGATTGCCTGCGTCCAGGAGACGAAGCTATCAGTGGCCTCCCGCCCTCCCTCTTTCCCTGGATACGCGCTGGAGCGTAGGGACCGTCCCGGTGGCCACGGTGGCGGTCTCCTAATCCTGATCCATCACGACATCCCGTACACCGGGCGTGATATTTCTCCCCTCCTGCGTGGCGACGCCACCATGGAGGCCATAGCCATCTCCACTCCGCTCAATGGCTCCCCTCTCTGTATTATTAATATATACATCCCACCAGCCACCTCCTGCCCCCCGGGATTCTCCCCGGACCTCTCTGACATTGTCACCATCCCGGACAACTGTCTGACAGTGGGCGACTTCAACGCCCATCACCTCTCCTGATTCTCCCACACCGAGGACCAGAGAGCAGCAACGAGAGGGATCACCATCGACGACTTCATCTCTGGCTCCCCCTTAGCCTTCCTCAACGAGGATTCGCCGACCCGCCTCCCCTCCCACGGTCCACCCTCCTCACCTGACCTCGCCATCACCGGGCAGCTACTACTCAGCACCTCATGGGCTCCTCAAGTCGCCCTAAATTCCGACCATTTGCCCATCCTGCTTCATCTACCTCCCGCCGTGGAGTCCCCGGCTCCCCGGTCTGCCCGCTCTTATACTAACTTTAAGAAAGCGGACTGGCATACCTACACGGCAGCAGTTGAAGCAGCGCTCGAGTCAGTCCCTCAACCCACCTCGTGCGGAGGTGAGTCGACCCTCAGGGGCGTCCTGGCGGCTGCTGCCAAGCAGCACATCCCTGCGGGCTTTCGAAAGGAGTTCTCCCCTGCAGTCAGCCCTGGCACCCGGTTGCTCATGGAGCAACGGGATGACATCAGGGCGCACAACCCGAACGACCCTCGGCTTCCAAAACTCAACCTAGAAATCACCACTTCAATACAAGCCCATGCCAGGAATACCTGGCGGACACATCTCGCCTCGTGCAACAGGCGAACTCCCCAGTCAAAACACTGGAACCTTCTCCGCTCACTATCCGGAAAACTTAGCCGCCCTCCACCCAACCAGCCAATCCAATTCGGTCAGACCCCCCTCTCGTCGCAGAGCAAGATCTCCACCGCCTTCTGCAAACTATTCACCTCCATCGCTCCGCACTCCCAAAACCCATCCACCCGCCGCCGCCTTATGCGTCGAATTTGGGCTGAGCACCCCCTGGACAGGGTCTTCGCCCCTTTCACCCCTAACATGGTGAAACTCGCCATCAGAGCCGCTAACAATTCTTCCGCTTGGAGTCCGGATGGCCTCGCGGTTCTCCACCTCAAACACCTTGGCCCACGTGGCCTCCAGTTCCTTAGCCACATCTTTAATATCTCTGTCGCCACGGCCTCCATTCCATCTATATGGAAAAACTCAATAATTATCCCGTTACTAAAACCAGGTAAACCTGGTAACCAGGGCTCCTCATACCGCCCCATCTCCCTCCTTTGTCCAGCGGTCAAGATCCTGGAACGCCTTCTACTCCCATACATCTCTGATTCTCTCGTCACGGATTCTTCGCAACATGGCTTTAAACCAGGACAATAGACAGTCACCGCCCTCCTCCCGCTCGCGCACCAGATTGCGACGGGTTTCAATTCACGCCGTCCCCCATCACGTACAGTGGCAGCTGCGGTCGACCTATCGAAAGCTTTCGATAGTGTCGACCACCCTCTCCTCCTTAGCATGATCGCGGCCTCAGACCTACATCATAATCTGTTCCGCTGGCTGTGCTGTTACCTTAGAGGCAGGATGGCATCCTGCCTCTATCTGAGAACAAGGTCACAAGGTCCCCCTTCAGAACAATCCATTCTGGAGTTCCCCAAGGGTCGGTCATCTCCCCAGCCTCGCTGGGTCGGTCATCTCACCAGACTTCATCTCGGACATACCTGTTCCGACCTTTAACATCGCCTCATATGCAGATGACCTTATTATTTTTTGTGTCGTCCCCGAGGCTCAACGCCGCGGAGGCTGACCTCTCTGAGCTTCTCCGGGGCGTCTCAGACTGGTCGACTGCCAAGAAACTGGTCGTGGCTCCTGGGAAACCCTCCTCAGTCACGCTCTTCACCCCCGACACTCACCAATCCCGTCTTCACCCCTCTGCAACAATCTGCAATGGCATCATCCCCTTAAACAAAACCCCCAAAATCTTAGGGGTCACTTGGGATACCCATTTTACGTTCTCTCCTCATGTCAGAGCCATAGCCACCAAAGCAACAGGCTCTTTACGCATCTCAAAAGCCCTGGCCGGCACCAACTGGGGCTTCTCCAAGGAAGACATCATTGCCACATACCGGACAATTACTCGCCCAATCCTCAATTATGCTGCCCCAATTTGGTACCCAGTCGCCTCACGCACCGCAATTGCAAGTCTCCAAATCATCCAAAACTCAGCCTTGAGACGAGCCACCGGCTGCCTAAAGATGGCCCCAATCACCCATCTCCACCATGAGACCGGCGTCCTCCCCCTGTCCGGCCACCTGGACCTGGCCTGTGCTCAATTTCTCGCCAGCGCCCTCCAGCCTACTCATGCCTCTTTCAGCATCGTCTCCGCTCCCCCCGGAGACCGCCCCATGAAAGCTTCAATCAAGACAAGATTCGGCCACCTTGTGGCGCCTTTCCTGGCTGACGGCATGATGCCCGACGGTGCCTATGGAGAGGCAAAACGCTCCCTCCGCAGGGAGACAGCCACCCGTGTTGCGGCGACGGCCGGTAACAACGCTGTCCTCACAACCCCACCACCACCGATTGCAGCAAAAGGAGCCTCGCTCCCTCGCCCTTACCGCTCAGCGCTATCCCAGCTACGCTCGGGATACTGCAGCTCCCTTGCGTCCTACACCCACAGGGTCGGACGCTCCCTTAGCGCCGCTTGCCCGGAGTGCGGGGATCCCCTCCAATCCGTCCAGCAGCTCTTTGCCTGCCCTGCCTTCCCCACGTCCCTCAGCGTTTCATCATTGTGGGACAACCCCGTGGAGGCGTCGACGTTCCTGGCCACCCTCCCTGCTTTCGCCCATCTTCCCACTCTTCCGGTGCCGCCCCTCCGACCACCACCAGAGCCTCCGCCCACGCGAGCGTGACGTTTGGCGCAAGAAACAACAACAACAAAGTCCTAAATTCATCATAAGGTAAGGTATAAGGTGATGTGTACAAGTTTCATGTGAGTGTTGCATGAAATGTTATCTATTACTCTGTCCTCTTTGTGGGAATACTCCAAAAAGTCCACCAACAGAGCTGTAATTTGTTACTCTGTCTTCTTTGTGGAGATCCTCCAAGGATTCCAAGCCAAACTTATTTTTGTGAGTGTATTGGTCCCACTTTTGCTGACCACTCCTAATTATGTTGACTCATCATCGGTATATGTCTACTTTTCTCATTGTTAGGATGCATTGTTCAGAGAGTAGTTCATTCTTTCGAAATGTTAACTGTTAATGTTAATTTCTAAAGTTATACTGTGACCTAAACATCAGATGGATAGATCTTTACTGTCTCTGAACAGAGTTAAGAAAGATAAATTAGTTTGTTGTATGCATTTATAGTTCAGATGTTGGATTTGTTCATACTATAATGTTACAAAGTTCCTTTTTTGCGTGATTACTTCTCAAGTTGGTTACTTTATGTGCTTATTTTGTTTGAAGATGTTAGGGAAGACTATGTCATTAGACACAATAATTGTTTATTAAGAGCAGTTGAAACATTGATTCGGCATGGTCTAGTTGGTGCTGTTCTGCTTACAATGTAGTTGGGTAAAAACATACTGGCCTTCAATGGCATGCAGCAATAAGTGATATAGCACATGGAGAGTGGGAAGGAGCAAGCTAGCGGCTTTCGGCAATAAGTGAAATAGCATATGGAGAGTGGAAACAAGCAAGATAGTGATATAGCATATCAAGATAGCGGCTTTCAGCAACAAGTGCTATACCATATTGATAGTGGCTATCAGCAGCATGCAAAATACGTAATATAGCATATGGAGAGTGGAAACAAGCAAGATACCGTCGAGGTTGCGCCGCTGCGGCAGAGGCACCCAGGCAGCAATAGCATCACGCGCCATGCGCCGCAGGTAGCTGTCACTGAAGCCTTCAAACTCCGGTAGGGCCATCATTGACCTGAAGTCCATCACCGCCAGCGTATTGGCAGGGGATCTGATCATCCTGTAAAGAAAATAATTCATCAATTCATACCAAGAGAACCTTGACAAGGAGAACCCAACAACAGTGTTGTATCACATCTATCAAGTATATAATTTTCAGAGCTTTAGGCTTGAACATGAATTTCTGCCTAGAAGCAAGAATATATACATCCAGATAAATATAGAGAAGCCAGGTTGCACAAATAGAGTATGCATTATCTCTAGAATGGCACTTTAAAATTCTAGAGTGAACGCAAGATACATTAATTTTTGAACCAATAAAATTATATACATGTCCAATATGGAAAGAAATGAAGCAGATGCATATTCTTAAATGAAGGATTTACACCCTAAGAAATCTATAAAGAGTTAGATAACAGTGCATAAAGTTAATTTACTTATTATTCAGACACTTCAGCTTTTAGGTGCAACATTTATAATTATGAATGAGGAATGTTTTTAGAATTAGTACCTATTTTAAATTACATCACTGCAGCTCTGCAGAGGCTGTTCAGAGCATGCACACTCTGTAGTTACATCTGTTTACATAATCTTGAATTCCTTCACCTAGATTGAGACTCCTGCCAACTGTGAAGTTTGTGCTGCAGGTAATAGGTACCGTATGGCTTCTCTGTGCTCAAGGTATGAATCAGTTTATATTCATCCCTAACTCAGTGAGGTGCATGGAGAAAAAGTTATGAGGTTGCAGTATTATAGTATAATTATGTATATTAGTAAAGTAGGGTAAATAGTAGTTAAAGTAGTAGTAAAATAACACATAAATTATTATTTATAATAACTATTATTTGTAATAAATTTATTTATTTTTTCATGTCAAAATGGTGTTCACTTTAAAAAACGTGATTCATAGAACTACTTTTTGCATGTATCTTTCATGTTACCACAAAGCTCCAAAAATTGCATTGCTCAACAATTCAGTGCATGCTATCAATGAGAGGATTTAGTTGCAAATGATATTGAAAATTCTGAACCCAAAATTGGATTATTACTCTTCTATTCTCCTCAGCCAGATCACAGACAAGGAATGCATCAAAGCAAGAAAGATGCAACACACGTTTTGCTTCTCAGTGCAAACCAAGCAGGAGCTGAACACAATCAGTGCTATCATTTACTGATGAACAACAGTTTAATCTAAGTACTTCTTCCTGATTCATGCAGTTGATTATGAACTGGATAGAATATTTTGTTCAAATCAATCCTTATGAAGACACTGGAAGTGGAGTTGGTTGTAAATAATAAAGAAATGTCATGAAAGCATCATCACAAAATGTAACCAGAGAAATAAGAAGGGAAATATCAAATGACATTATCAACTAAAAGTTGAGTTAAAATAAAATGTTAATAGATAAGTTTAATGATTGCAATAGCTATAGTCATTGACAATCTGAAATATTGGAATACAGATAATGAATTATTATCAGTGATAAAATTTTCAAATTCAATTAATTAAATCAAATTAATAAAATAAAAAATGAAATTAGGTATAAACAAAGAGTAAAATTAACAAAAAACTCAACAGCCAATTGAACTTTGGAAAGCCTTGTTTTGTGTGATGGCAGTGACAGGACTGTTATCATAGAAAGAAACTTGGATTGAATAACTAACATAAGCACACAATAAGATACATTTCTGGACTAAGGTATCTAGAAATTAATAGAAAAAAGCAAGTTGAAACAGCGTATAAGATACCTAAATGTACGAAATTGTTCTCTTACTCTTTAATCAGCATAAGTTCATGATTAGATGTCCACTTTGGGAGATCCTCAGCATCTGGATGCTTCAGCTTGTAGTGATGCAAATGCAAAGCATGCTTCACAAAGTTGATATATGCAGCGCAGCAGGCTTTGTTCGTGCGTGTCTGCAAAAAAACATGGTTCTTGGCAGGAAAGCTTAGCATTGATACAAAATATGCAATGAAATATTTTAATAACAAATCACTCCCACCCAATCTATTTCAGTGTTAGCTAGAACATTTTTATTATAAATTAGCAATACAAGCGAATGAGTCAAATCCTATCTGGGAAATTAGCTTAATGTTGCTAAATCAGATCCTCTGAAAAAACTTTGAATGCAATTGAACAAAAAAAAATATTATAAGCTTCCTCAACATTTGGCATCTTTGAACTCAATAGTGTCAGTAACACAGATTCAACATTACAGAACTCCAGGAACTTAATTGAATAAAACAGCAGTCAAAATAGCAGCATCACCTGTCATCTCCTCTGCAAAACAGGCTACAGCCATGTATGTGAATATTATCAGAAAATACTAGAAATTGCCAAACAGGCTACAGCCATATTACAGAATACTAGAATACATGTGAATTTTTACAGAAAATACTAGAAATAGCCATTGAGCATGAAAGCTCAATCAATTGCACAATGTAATTTTTGGCTGCACACAGTAACCAAAGAATATCAGTAACAATTAAAACTTTACAGGAATTAATAGAGATATTTTCTTGACAGATTTTACAGGCAGGAAGGAAATTATGAACCTATATTATTATTATACTGGAATAAATAGGATTCAAGTCAAGATTAAGCCACTCGCCTTAGAAACATTTCTGGATAACCAAAAAGTTAAAGAAAATAGAAGAAGAAGCAAGTAGGTATTAATTTCCTGGTAAACACATCTGAATAATGACATGGTATTCTGTTATGTATTTGCACTTAAAATCTTTTTACCACCCATGGTTAATCAGGCACCACATAGCTCATTGTGACAACATTTTGCAGAGTGGAGGTTATGGGCTGCAGCCTGTCAGTAAATCTCGGTGCATTGCCAGTTAAGGGTTTTGATAAAGCTGGTCCATTTGCTGTATCATCTAAGAATTTTAATCACTCCTGTAATTTATTATTGGTAAATGCAGCATTACTACTGTTTGCAATTGTTTTGCTTGCAAATATGTTTTATGTGCAGAGACAATATACCATGGTAATTTGTTTATGTTGTCCACAATACCCACAATTGGCAGTAGTCAAGAGCGTCAGTGTAACATTTAAATTGCTTCATTTGGCCTGTGTTTATTTTTGTATATTATTCCTAACTAATTGCCATGCTTCCAGTGGATATTCTTTTTTCATATAACATGCAGCTTACAAGAGCAATAAAGGGAAGAAAACCTATGTTGCTTGTTGACTGCCTTGGCAATGCAAACTAATACACAAAATGCCTTGGACATTTTCATAGATTGCTTTATAGGATGACTTCATGCAGAACCTTCAAAGAAAAAAATAATAATCATTATTCCTCCCTGCTGATTGATAGGAATGATGTTCAAAACTAAGGAGATGAAATGCTTATGAATTCAAGGGAACTTTTGTACTTAAAAACAACTCACTCTAACAAAAAGGAATACTTTCATCCAGTTAATGCCACTGATGGAACAGGAGTGGTTTTGAGTAGGCGCTTTGTTCCAGGTGTACACCACTCCTTTGATGAGACGCAACATCTCTTCTTCTGTCCATGGTCCATAGGCAACTGAAAACCAGTTATGGTCAGCTTAGCCACTGCCATGCTAATACTCCAAATAGCTTAGAATAATCTTAGGGAATTTTTTTTCAAGACTTTTGATCAGTCTGGAAAATCAAAATTAGTTAACATATTTTCCTCCAGTCATGTATGCTATGCTGGAGAAAAATTTTATAATAAGCATGACTTTGGCAATTTGAACCTGACATCACTGAATGTTAAAGATTGGTTTAATCACCTTGCAACCCTCAATCAAGGCTGTTCTCATGCCACATCAGGCCTACATTTCAGCGCCGACATCATTAGGTTATGTTAAATAAATCAACAAAATCCACAATTAGTACTACAATTCTTACCTTGGCCCCCCACCAGCACTATTTTTCTAAGTTCACTATTTTTCCAGGCTCCAGCAGATGCCAGATGAAATATTCTGAACAGAATACAATTGTCTAGTCTAGTTTTTATGAAAGTACAAAAAAATTTATATCAATTATCAACAATTATTCTCATTTACATTTACCAGGTTGAAATAAGGTGTTAACTTTGTAATTTTACAACTACCAGTACTGGTAATAGATAACCTCATAACCACAGCCGGGCCATGGTGGAAAATAGATTTTTTAGAATCAGTTAATTTTTAATTTCCTCATCTACTCAAGACGTTGTAAACAGATTTTTTATGTATGATAATGCTGGTATCCTGATAGTGAGATACTTTACTGGTCTGAGACCAGTAGGAACTGGTCTCAACTGGTCATAGGACTCAAAAATTATCTTGAGGAAGAGTCTAAAAAACTCTGTATTGCCACTATGCACACATGCACTGTCTACGGACCACAGGCCACTGGTGTCTGGTATTGCAGTTGTGAACTTGTGCGACGCAAGGAGTAATGCCAATGGCGAGACATCGGCTCAGGCTCTCAAGAAGTGAAGTCGCACCGGTAACTTGAACGTTGGTACCATCACGGTACGGTGTCGGTACCAAGCGGCTGAACTTATCACATAATGAAGGAAATACTAAGATCTAATTCTAATAAATGAAGATAATAGTTCAACAATCACTCATGTCCACTGTAACGTCGGAAAAACTCTGAACAGCCAAGATTTTCCGATTCACATGGCAATAACAAAAAGCGATGTCCTTAACATGCGCAACAAAGCCAACGATGCAAGGAATGTTGCCACAATAAACTGATTACGTTTCTATTCTTGTAATTGGTTCAAAGATTTGTTGTACAAAAGTACATCTCAGCCAGATACTGAATAAGAACATAAAGTTTGATAATAAGCACGCTCGTGCTCAAAATGTGTAAACATAATTCGTTTATAATATAATGAAATTTAGTATATGGAAACGATGAATATAATGGAAAATTCCAGAATATTTAAACATTTAGCTAATCAACGTGCATCCCGGCAGGATAGTTTGAACCATGAATGATGGAGAAAGGGCCTAACCCATTAACATACTTGCCGAAATTAAATGTGAAAATTATATATAAATTGAAATAGGGATTTTGTCGGTAAAGGCATGCTTACTTTCCATTAAATTAAATCATCAAAAGTTATTGCCTTGAATGATTTGGCTACTAAATGGAGTTTATATGGATTTTAAATCATCCTAAATCAGCATAAATTCTAACAAAATATATTTTTCATATATATAATCACAACAAATTTTCAGAATATTCTCGAAACAAATTATGAGAAATTTATTTTCTAAATGAATCTCAGATTACAGCAAACTGATGCAGAGCGAACCTCTATGAAAATAATCATAAATAGAACGAGATTTTAGTTGAAATGTAAGCATTCAAATCGTTTAAATTAATTATGAACTGAGCTCACATTTTTTTGTCAGATAGAAGTATTCCATTCAATAAGAAAATTGCAGTGTTCTGAGATGCGCAAAAATGCAATAGCTCTGTGTAAACATCGGTATACGATATCAGCAACGGTCTTCTGTTCAACAGGAGTGGATGTCAAAGTATAAGTTTAGGTTCGAACAACTTACGCATGCACGTGTTCGATTGCAGAATCGATTATATATATAGCAACCGAAACATGGTCGTAAGTAGCAGGTGGCCACTCATTTGTGAACAACCTTAATTTTGCCTTCATTTGTTTTTGCCATAGTTATATGGCAATACGGGCCGAAATTCACAATACCGGGTAATCAAGAAATTTTTTCCAAACTATTGAGCAAATTCAAACGAAATTTTGAATTTACAGTCCTAACTACTGAACGTTAATGTTTAGCTCATGAAAATTTATTCGATTGTGCCTTTGATCCCGAATTTTTTTTTATTTCACCTTCATTCGTGATTTAAACAGCAATACGTGCTTAACGATGTTAATGAGTGAACGAAAGGGAACGTGTATAATAGGGAACGGCATCGCCTATGTTATTAAATTCGCAGTAATCAAGAAATCCCTTCCAAAACTACTGAATGGATTTGAACTAAAATTAGTATTTAAATACCTAACCTCAGCAACGGTGATGTTTAGCTCGGTACAATTTTTTCGTTTTGCCTTCGTTTGCGAGTGATACGGCTATACGTATACGGATATACGTAAACGGCTCTTGGTTAAACCGGCCGGTAGAAATGCCGGTCGTTCCTCCAATATCTGTATAGCTCGCGAACGAAAGCAAAATAGAAAAATTGTCACGAGCTAAACATCACCGCTGAGAGGTTAGTTATTTATATACAAAGTTTCGTTTAAATATGTTCAGTAGTTTAGAAGAAATTTCTTGATCGCCGCGAATTTAAGCGACAAATTATCCGGCGATACGGGCCGAATATAAGGAAATGTGAAATGAAGAATGACTGTGGAATGAAAACTAAAAAAACTCGCAAACGAACGTAAAATCGAAAATTTTTAAAAGCCAAAAAAGTAACGCTTGGTAGTTAGGAATGTATATTCAAAATTTCGTTCAAATCTGTTCTGCAGTTTGGAAGAAATTCTTTAATCACTGCAAATTTCGGCCTTTATCGCAATATAACTCACGAATGAAGGTGAAATTTAAACATTTTTACGAGCTAAAAATCAACGTTAGGTTCTGATGAATATTTGTTCCAAGTTTCCTTGAGCTGCGTTCATTAATTTGGGAGATATTACTTGATAATTGAATTTGGAGATTGGTCGTGCCACTGGCCACGAGTCCGGCCGGGAATTTGCCCAAGACGTCCTAGGTTTCTAGTGCTGAAACAGTTAAAACAGCTTAAAAACATATTGGTTCACTAAATGGGGTTGTTCTATTTGTGAAATACACATTTGTGTTTAACATTTATCTATTAAAATATATAGATAAAAATAGCAGCGTACTAAATTTCAAGAAAGAGGCGCATGTTTTTATATGTGTCTGTCTAACGTAACCTAACCTAACCTGCGCCGCCTGTTGCGGTAGGGCCTGTTGCGCTCCGGCCAGTTGGGCTCCGGCACTGTGAAGCAGTGGCTGTATTGTGCAAAGCGGATTTACTGTTAGCCGGAGTTACCCACAGCTCATTGATCTGAGGCTATGTGTAGATATTGCATGCTGCTGATGGTTGGCGTTGGGCCCAGGGCCTGTTTATGAGTCAATTTTGTTACCCACGGCTGCGCTCCCCAAACAACGTACTTGGTCGCGCATAGATCTTGCAGTCATGTTTAGTCCAGTATGGAACATGCTTATCACGCATTCTGAGTACCAAGTTGTGGACTTGGCTCGCAGTTGAAGTCAAATGTTGTACAAAGCTTGCACCGGTGTACCGCGTAATACCTCATAAGTAGAGTGATTCCAAAATTTTCCCCGGTTTTTGATGTTAAAAAAGGAGAGAAACTCAGTGTTCATGCATTCCAAACTCCAAGCTAGCGGTCTTTTGTACCCAAGTGCGAGAACAGCACGCAATGCAGTGCAGCAGGTTTAAAACAGCGTTGAATTTGCATTCAAAACTCCCATGCACATTCCTCACACATTGTATCTAGTGAGAATAGCGCATACAATACTCGATCAGGCTAATCGGAGCCACTTTTACGTGCTCATCTTTCCGGAAACGTAGTACTCTCACTTGGCGCACATATGCGCAAAAATATGTACTTGACCGTTTTGATTGGAAACCAAGTTAACAAAAATTTCGGCTTCACGCCAATTCCCGCGCCAAATGAATAGAACGCTATGTTTGGAATTACATGTCGAAGGCTTCTTAATTACGCAATTCATGCTTGTATTAGTTGAATGCGAGGGAACCGTTGTCCGCGTATTTCTGTCAGAGTATTCCTACGTGCTTTACGATACGATGGCACGCCTGTGCATGCCCGTATCATGTTTTTTTTTTTAAACAGGCCGAGAATAAAAATTAATACCACGCTCTCGGAGATGCAAAATGCAAGAAAGAATGTGTAGTTTTACGGTCTAGCTGGTTGGAGAATTACTGGAACGGATCGTGTAACTATCACATTGCGCTCCATTGAAATTTGTTTCTGTACAATTCGGGGCAGTCATGCGTCGTTTAAAATTTTTAGTTAAAAACAAAGAGAACAATAAAAATGCTGACAATGCTCTCCTATACGAAATATTAATAAAAATGGGTTGTTCATTCCGGCGATCTGCCGACGCAGTAAATACTGACCAAAAATCTTGTCGCAAAACGACATGATTTAACTTATATTCCATACGAACGCGTTTAGCTTTAAAGCAGCTATAATGAACGTTAATGTGGCGCAACGCTGCGTACCGTACTAATACAGCAAGTATCTAACACATCGCCTGATTGCTCGTCACAGTTCAAGTAGTTTAGTTAAGTTTAGTGGCCACATGTTCACTAGAGCTTCAGCTAATTAGCTATCTCGTGCCGAAAGTCAAGATGAACACCAAAGATGTGGAAGGTCTCAGTTATACGAAGTTTCTCAAATCAAAAATTAATGTCTCAATTGGGCGGAAGGTCTCAATTGTTCAGCCCGTTGAAGCTGGTTCGACAGAAGCAGCGTAAGCATCTCAAAGAGACGAAGTGTCAAGAAGGGACAGGTGGAAAGCAACCGAAACTAAGACACTCGAACAAGAGGTCGCTTGCACGGGACGTCGGCCGCCCGCAGGAGAGAGACAGAGAAAGGAAATGAATCATACCTACATAATAACCTAACCCCACAACTGAGACCTGCAGTCAGACACCGCAAGCTCAGCGGTGGGGCGCTCAGGAACAATCCCCCTAGGAGCGGCGAAATTCCATAGGACTTCTGACGAGCACAGACACGCGTCAGAAGTCCCCCTGAGGGGATAGTTCAAGTAGGGATTTACTCGCCAGAACCTGTTGCACGCGACGAGTCAGTTTCGACTTCCGTAAAAATTCATCATCATATCAGAATTTAAGGCAATGTTTACATATTTGTTTACGCGGTTCAATAATGGAATAAATAGCTCCAAGAAGGGAGTTGAGAATAAAAAAGGTAAAGAAAACCAGAATTGTCAGTGCAACGGAAATGCAAACTGTAATCAACCTTATAATTCTAATGCTAATCTATCAAATTGGAAATTTTACGGCATCTGTCGCCCAACTTCCATATTAACTTCAACCTGACAGGTTACAGAATTTCCAAATGAAATGCAGGATGCAAAACGATAGAGAACTTACGGTGTTACTTGGTGCAGAATTTATGCATCAATGATGCAACTTAGCAAGGAACTATGGCATCAAACAGCATAAAGGACTGACGCGGTACGAATATATGCACATATATATATAATCAACAACCAAAAATTATTGCAGTAAATGCATTTCTCTATGGAAGGCATCAATACACAAGGGACATGTTTGCAGAATTGATAGTAGAACATGATAGAATTTGGTATGATATTTACCAACCTTAGCAGCGTTTGAGAACAGTTGGGAATGACTTTCTTGAAAAAACATGCACTTAGGCTTTGGTTGCACAGTTAAGTCTTTGATTTTGGAGATGGAGGTTATCATGCTTTTATTTCGAGGGATTTAGATTCTTCAACCGTTATCGTGAGTCGTGATCGTGATGGTCATCTTTTTCGAGAGTTATCATGGTCATCACCGTTCGACTCACCATCACCCTCATCCTACACGAGGTCATCGTTTCCCAAATTGTGGTCACCACCGTTCGACTCATCATCACAGTCGAGTCGTCCTACTCGAGGTCATCGACTACCAACTTATATTATCACAGCCTATCAGTCGCAGGAAGACGTAAAACATCGTCATCAAACAACTCGCAATCCCTTATCCTAGTCGTGTTTGCTTTCACCCTACTCGAAGTCATCATCTTCGTACAACTCGCAATCATCTTTCTGCAGCTCGAGGTCATCATCACCAAACAAATCGCAATCTTCTTTCTTTAACTTGAGGTCGTCATCATCCAAGCCATCCAGGAGGTTAGGGTCCTCAAGGTCCGGATCCTCGACATCAGGCTCAGTGATGTCAAGCTGATGCAGCGGCACAGTAGCGAACATTCGCTTGATGTGTTCGTCGAGATACTCGGGTATGGCGTCTGCAAGCTTGGCACTTCGGTAGAAATTAATCTGCTTCAACACTCTGGAGTGGTTGTCAAGCTTGCGCTCGAGCTTTGGCAGGATGTGAGTAGCTAGGTAGTCCAGCGAGTCTGTGCAGCACAAAAAGACTTGGTTACAAATAAATGAAACTAAACATTCTCAATGGTAAAAAGTGGTTTAAAGAGAATGTATTGAAGTTAGGAGTGATATGCTAAACAAATTCGTCACTAAAATTAATGTTCAACAAGGTTCTGAAAACTGCAACATAAATGTGCATCTGTGAGATAAGTGATTCTGTTGCAAGACAGGAGAGGTAACCTTCATTAATTTCATAACTCAATAATAAAGTACAAGTGATACAGAAAAATCTACTAAATCCAGCACCGAAAGAATTAATTACACCGAATTGTGTACGAAGAACGGCACTAATAATACCTTACAGCTAAAACTATGATTGACAAGCCTTACATAGATTGTACTGCGAAGTATAATATATAAATGTAACCAAATCTCACACAGCCTGTGTGAGATTTTGACACACAATCTTACAGGTTATTGCGTGCTCGTATGTATTTTCAGGTAATTTTCGAGTGCATGTGGCATCACGTCATAATGTGCCAGAAATTTTCAGCAGTTTCAGTAACATAAATTATATTTCACGTCATGTTTTCATGATGCGCTTGCACTTCAGGCCACTGTCCGGGTAATCGTTAATTGGGCATTGTAGTTAAGACGTTCATGCTTCATCATGCTGTTACATCATTCGATGTTCTAGACCTGCCTAGCGACGACTCGGAGACAGAGGACGACGAAGGCGGCGCATCAGCGTGACCTAAGAAGTCCTAAACTCATCATAAGGTAAGGTCATAAGGTGATGTGTACAAGTTTCATGCGAGTGTTGCATGAAATGTTATCTATTACTCTGTCCTCTTTGTGGGAATACTCCAAAAAGTCCACCAACAGAGCTGTTATTTGTTACTCTGTCTTCTTTGTGGAGATCCTCCAAGGATTCCAAGCCAAACTTATTTTTGTGAGTGTCTTGGTCCCACTTTTGCGGACCACTCCTAATTATGTTGCCTCATCATCGGTATATGTCTACTTTTCTCATTGTTAGGATGCATTGTTCAGAGAGCAGTTCGTTCTTTTGACAAGCATTACCTAAATGTTAATTTCTAAAGTTATACTGTGACCTAAACATCAGATGGATAGATCTTTACTGTCTCTGAACAGAGTTAAGAAAGATAAATTAGTTTGTTGTATGCATTTATAGTTCAGATGTTGGATTTGTTCATAATAGAATATGTTACAAAGTTCCTTTTCTTGCGCGATTACTTCCCAAGTTGGTTACTTTATGTGCTTATTTTGTTTGAAGATGTTTGGGAAGACTAAGTCGTTAGACACAATAATTGTTTATTAAGAGCAGTTGAAACATTGATTCGGCGTGGTCTAGTTGGTGCTGTTCTGTGTACAATGTAGTTGGGTAAAAACATACCGGCCTTCAATGGCATGCAGCAATAAGTGATATAGCATATGGAGAGTGGGAAGGAGCAAGCTAGCGGCTTTCAGCAATAAGTGAAATAGCATATGGAGAGTGGAAACAAGCAAGATAGCAGCTTTCAGCAATAAGTGATATAGCATATGAAGAGGGGAAACAAGCAAGATACCGTCGAGGTTGCGCCGCTGCGGCAGAGGCACCCAGGCAGCAATAGCATCACGCGCCATGCGCATCAGGTAGCTGTCACTGAAGCCTTCAAACTCCGGTAAGGCCATCATTGACCTGAAGTCCATCACCGCCAGCGTATTGGCAGGGGATTTGATCATCCTGTAAACAAAATAATTCATCAATTCATACCTACCAAGAGAACCTTGACAAGGAGAACCCAATTATAAGGGAGAATTATACCGTAAGTTAAATTTAGGATTCTTTTTAAAAAATGTGACCAACAGTGTTGTATCACATCTATCAAGTAATTTTCAGAGCTTTAGGCTTGAACATGAATTTCTGCTTAGAAGCAAGAATATATACATCCAGANTTTAGGCGTGCGTGTCTGCAAAAAAACAAGGTCCTTGGCAGGAAATCTTTGCATTGATACAAATTATGCAATGAAACCAATATTTTAATAACAAATCACTCCCAATCTATTTCAGTGTTAGCTAGAACATTTTTATTATGAATTAGCAATGCAAGCGAACAAGTCAAATCCTATCTGGGAAAATAGCTTAATGTTGCTAAATCAGATCCTCTGAAAAAACTTTGAATGCAATTGAACACAAAAAAAAATATTATAAGATTCCTCAACATTCGGCATCTTTGAACTCAATAATGTCAGTAAACACAGATTCAACATTACAGAACTCCAAGAAGTTAATTGAATAAAACAGCAGTCAAAATAGCAGCATCACCTGTCATCTCCTCTGCAAAACAGGCTACAGCCATGTATGTGAATATTAACAAAAAATATTAGAAATTGCCAAACAGGCTACAGACATATTACAAAATACTAGAATACATGTGAATTTTTACAGAAAATACTAGAAATAGCCATTTTTCAATGAAATGAATATATATGATTTTAAATAATAGGGTCACATATACATGAAGAATTAATTTGTGGAATTTTCTTGTATATCAAGTGCAATACTTTAATACAAGATATTGGCTGAGAGTTCAATATATTTTACCAAACACAATAGCTTAAATTGCTCATTTTCAGTTTCAATAAAATATGTGCAATCAAAAATAAATAAATGAGCATGAAAGTTCACTCAATTGCACAATTTAATTTTTGGCAGCACACAGTAAGCAAAGAATATTAGTAACAATTAAAACCTACAGGAATTAATAGAAATATTTTCTTGACAGATTTTACAGGCAATAAGGAAATTATGAACCTACATTATTAGTACATATACTGGAACAAATAGGATTCAAGTCAAGATTAAGCCACTCTCCTGAGAAACATTTCTGGATAACCAAAAAGTTAAAGAAAATAGAAGAAGCAAGTAGGTATTAATTTCCTGGTAAACACATTTGACTAATGACATGGTATTCTGTCATGTATTTGCACTTAAATATTTTTCCCACCCATGGTTAATCAGGCACAACATAGCTTATTGTGGCAGCAGAGTAGAGGTTATGGGCAACGAGCTGCAGCCTGTCAGTAAATCTCAGTGCATTGCCAGTTAAGGTTCATGACAAAGCTGGTCCATTTGATGTATCATCAAAGGATTTTAATTACTGCTGTAATTTATTATTGGTAAACGCAGCATTACTTCTGCTTGCAATTGTTTTGCTTGCAAATATGCTTTATGTGCAGGGGCAATATACCATGACAATTTATTCATGTTGTCCAAAATACCCACAATTGACAGAAGTCAAGAGCATCAGTGTAACATTATTCCCAACCTATTGCCATGCTTGCAGTGGATATTTTTTTTTCATATAACATGCAGCTTACATGAGCATTAAACGGAAGAAAGCCAATGTTGCTTGTTGACTGCCTTGGCAATGCAGCCTAATATGCAAAATGCCTTGGACATTTTCAACTATTGTTTTATAGGATGACTTCATGCAAAACCTTCAAGGAAAAAAATAATAATCATTATTCCTCCCTGCTGATTGATGGGAATGATGTTCAAAACTAAGGAGATGAAATGCTTCTGAATTCTAGGGAACTTTTATACTTAAAAACAACTCACTCTAACAAAAAGAAATACTTTCATCCATTTAGTGCCATTGAGGGAATGGGAGTGGTTTTGAGTAGGCGTTTTGTTCCAGGTGTACACCACACCTTTGATGAGACGCAACATCTCTTCTTCTGTCCATGGTCCAGCGGCGACTGAAAACAAGTTATGGTCAGCTTAGCCATTGCCATGCTAATACTCCAAATAGCTTAGAATAATCTTAGGGAATTTTTATTCAAGAATTTTGCCCAGTCTAGAAAATTGAAATCAGTTAACATATTATGTATACTATGCCGGAAATTTTTTTTTTAATAAGCATGACTTTGGCAATTTGAAATTACCTTCACTGAATGTTAAAGATCACCTTGCAACCCCCATTCAAGGCCATTTGGCAAACAAATTTAGACCTACCATGCAACTATTCCCTTGCAACTGAAAAATAAGTACCTACCTACATGAAGCAACTATTGGCAATATTAACACATTGACTACGAAGTGGTACATATGCGTACCATGATATGTATTTCTCCAGGACGTACTGGTACATAATTAAGGGTTGCCAAAAATCGGACAAATCCAAGAACAAAAAAGGGCAAAAAAGGCCAATAACTCAATGTATACTAGTTTATTTCTAGGTTCCGCTATAAAAATTCCATTTATTTTCTTTTTGCAGTATTTAAAATTTAATTAGGAAGTACCCCTATCATGAATTTTAGCCAGCAAACACAATTGAGAAAAACTAAATCACGGAATTTGTCTGGAAAAAATGACCGTCTGGTAACCCTGTTTAAAAACAGTATAAAAAATGAAATAATCGTACAAGATGAAGCAATCATAGTCAATGTGTTAAATTGTTTTCAAGTTCAAAGGTAAAAAATTATTTAAGAAAAAGACAAATTTAAATACTTCAATATGCAAAAAATAATTTAGGTTGAATCAGGTGACACTATTGAATTTTTAATATCTGAAATAGGTATGTTGTATGAAAGCCCTTGCTTATACTGAAATGGCCAAAATAATAAATAAATATAAAAACATTTTTAAAAACCACGTTTTTCTGGTGGTTACAAAACTAAAAACAATGAATGAAATAAAACAGCATTAGATTTGAAACAATACAATACAATAACAATAAAACAGCATTAGATTTGAAATACTATGCGTCTCTATACATAATTTAAATCACTTTTCCTGTTAAGTTTGTGTACTTACATACATTAAAATACGATTTTTCAAGTGTACGAATATTTATTTCCCCCCACTGTATATATAAAGAAAAAAATGCTAAAAGATAATCAATTTTTGTAAAATGACTGATAGGCCCAAGTATATGAAAATGGAGAAATTTCCAAAAATCCAGGCTATCATAGACTCTGACAGCTACATTATAAAATTTATGATGGTAATTAAGCAATAGCAGCGGAAAGCAAAAAGGCAAATCTTGATGTATATTTATGCCTTGGAACAGGATTGCATAAGACCCATATCAGTTCTGCTACTTTGTGATTCTATTTTGTTGAGATATTATGTATTGAGTTGTGAAACAATTCTGTGAATGATCATTGAATAGAGTCTTTATGAATCTTTAATGAGAATAACAGCAATCATGCTATCTCAGCTGCATATTCATGATACATTAGAATGATATATTGGCATCTCATGCTGGTAGTGACACAATACATACGGTACTTGAAATTAATATGTTTCAAAGTTAATTTGTGAGCAGGGATGAAAAAATACAAGATTGTCTCACATACCTGAAACAAACTTCGGTTTAATCCTTTTCTTATGTAGTTTAGAAACTTTTTTTGTTGAGGTACTGAGGTGAAGAAGACCTGATTTATTGAAAATGAGTCAGGACTGCCTTCCAAAATGCAGGTGCGGTAGTTTATCAGGGGGCGCAAGTCATAAAATTTGTACTCCTGCACAAAAATTATAACATTGCAAATTCAATTTAGAGAGCATTAGAACTATTTGCAGCCATTGAAAGATTATCTGCCATTAAAACTCCAATGTATATACTTGAAAACTCCATTGGTAATTCCTGAATAATACTGTATACTGTATTGTTATTTTTACTAGAGTAAATAGTAAAATTCAAATCGTACAATTTTTGTTAATGCTGTTATTATGAGTATTAATTCCAAGATAATAATAATAAATAAGAGAGGTTGGAAAATAATAATAGAAAAGAAGAGATGTTTGCTGTAGAGAAGTACAAGCCAGGTTGGCAAGATGCAAATAATATGAAGTGGCTGAAAAACATGGATTATAATGTGCATTGGGGAAGACAACCAAATGTCCTAGCAAATTTTGGATTGGAAGTGTTTTAGGCAACAGGCAGAACTGTTAGGCACTGTTAAAAATATTTGGTGCTGAGTATTATAATAACAAATGAATAAATAAAGCAAATGAAATGTAGGTGGTAGTGATCTATTGTTTTGAAAAGATCATGTAATGCCATCAATGACTTGTTTGTCATGGACAGTATCATTAACCAAGCTGTATAAAATATGAAAAAAGGAGCCACTTGAATGAGTCTTCTGGTAGACTAAAGGAAACTAACTTCTTGATAAAATGCAGTGGTTAATATTTTGTATAATTTGCAGCAAAAATCTTGCAAAACAATGAAAAATTACCAACCGTAATTAAAAATGAATGACTCAACATTTACTTATCAGAGTTTATTTTAGTTTTCTAACTTCATTCAGCCAAACTAGAATTTGAAATTATCACCTATCAACTGACCTTTTGAAACTGATTCCAATTTTCATTAATAATTTGTCTCTCCTTTTCACTAAATTTTCCTTCATTATACTGTCTGTTAGAGTTATGCTTTGCTGCATCCAGGGTTTCAACCACAGCATCTCCATCAGCATCACTTTCCTTGTCCATGAACAATTTTCCAAGAAACTGTAATAAAAACAAAGGTTCATGAAATAACTCATTTGAAAAGCATAAGACTGAAATTGATAACAGAATTTTCAGCTTGGCGAAGTTCTGTAGACATTTTGGAATAAGGGAGAAGCTACAAGTTTTTAACATGAGACAAGTTTTCTCTCCTATATTTGGGCATAATGACTTGACAATATGTGCAATCAGCAATTAATTATCCAGAATAGGTTATTTATTCAGTACTATTTACTATTATTATTGTATAGGTATTTCTTTTATTTAACCAGTATATATCAAATTCCATAAACCAAACACTGTCTATCTACACAGCTACATGGTACGGTATATCTATCTGGGAGAAAATGTTTTCCTAAATTTATATTTGTTGAAGATTACATTACATCTTTCCCATCAAGTTACTCATTAAACTTCACAGCAGTAATTGATGAATAAATAGCTAAATCTAAAGATGAGGAAATAAAAATAAAAATCAATATCAATCAAGCATGTCATAGGTACTATTAATAGAAGTAATTCATAATTTAAAGATGCTAAAAGATGTAATCAATTCTTGTTATAATTTTATGAATGTCACTGGACAATGTTTTTTTTTACAAATTTTTTTCACTTGCTGAGAATGGAATGGAAATGAAATTTATAAAGATAAACAGTAACTACAAATTAACTTGGTAACTGGATGAATTAGATAAACAATGGCTACTATAGAATAAAAAAATTATATCCAGACAATTTAGATTCCAGAAAAAAATATATATACATATATATGGAAATAGTCTTGGCAAGGATGCTCCCAAAAAAAGTATGATAAATGTTCAATCAGAAGTCAATATACCTAAGTACCATTTTGAGTAGTGAGTGAACATAAAAAAAACCTCAAGCATCACTAATGGATCAGTCTTAATTTGCAATTAGAAGGTCAAGAAAAATACCCACCTCAACCTCCTTGTATGTTGGCAGGTAAGGCATTGCATAGTCGACCTTATTCATCTTCTTCTCTTTCATGGACTTTTCATCAAGAGTGCCAAGTTTAAAATCCATAAAATGCTTGGCAATTTTATTTATTTTCTCATTCAATTCATTTTCCAAATCTTCAGGAGTAAGTTCATTGTAGCCATATAAGCTTTCTTGAAAATTTGTCCAGAATTTAGCTCTTTCCCATTCAGCTTCTGTAGATTTGAATTTTGGTTTGTAGAAATAGTCTTCAAGACTGCAAAACTTTGAAGATATTCTAGCCTTTGCAGATTTGATAACTTCAAATGGGCCAAGCATGCCAACAACAAAAAAGTTACTGCCACAGCCACTAATGTCAATACCTGAATGATTTCCTTTTATGATATTTGATCTTACATTTTCATTAATTTCATGTAAATTACCCACTGAGTTACATTTGAGGATGGCTGGAGCAGTTTTCACAGAAATATTTTCTTGCCTCTTCTGTCTATTTTTTTTAATTACTGGCTTAAGAGTGGGCTTGGATGAAACATTCACAATAACTGACCAAGGTCCAAGCTGAGTCAGTTGCAAAAGAGAAGCAATATCTGCTTCATTAACTCCCAACAGCTGAACAGCAATCAATTTTTTTTGGCGCTTGACTCTTATAGCTTGCACATGCATGGTTGAAAATGGCAGAGCTTCCAATACTGAGCTGAGCTGCTCTAGTGAGGTTAACATACTTTTAGAACTATTATTTGCTGGCCGGATGAGGATTACTTGGAAACCTTGTTGCTCAGTTGCGCTGGTGGGCAATCCAACAACAGTGGTACACTTCTGACTTGCTGGCTCTATAAGCTCTGGGATTATTTTGGGCCGCTTCTTGGTCTTTCCCAACATTTCTCCATTTGCTATAAGCATGTGTTTGCGTTTCTGATGGACCCCTTTGCATTCAGATGAGTCACCATCCTGAGATGGAGAAAGAATTGAATCATTTCCACTGGCAAACTCACTTTCACAGCAAAGTCTGAGTTGTGAATCCGTCATTTTCAGTAAAATCTTTATACTCAGATGAATTGATTATTGCAGGATCATTTAGCACTTGCACAATTCACTGAAACATGGGAGTTTGTGGCACATCTTCTTCCAAAAATGGTCTTTCTGAAGACACTGAAATGGGGTGCAAATGATCAATGAAATGATGTGCTGGAACAAATTTGCATATACAGTAAGTAGTCACTAAGCATTTTGGATTATCCTATATAGTGCAAACTAGTTTAAGGGCGGCATCTTGGTACAAAAAATGTTTGTATTTACAGATCAACCTTTCTGAAATCACGAATACAAAAACATTTTGATTATATGAATTTTTTGATAAAATGAAAGGAAATGTGAAATGCATAGAAAATGAGTGTGGTACACTTTGTGATTTGTTGTGCTGATGCTGGCATCACCGGGTTGAAGTCCGCGTTAGGATACCTATTCATTATTTCGTTTAGACTTTGTCAGAGAGCACCTTCCTCTCACTGTGCTCTAGTGATTGTGTAGCGTCCCTAGTAGGTGAGTTGCAGTGGAGATATAGGATAGGCTAATTCTGTGTTTGTAATTCAGCTTTTGAACTTATCAATAAGTGTTGACCAACCCACTAATTTGAATTGAATAACTGTTAATTAATAGTGTTGTGTATTTATCTGCGTAACTAGAGTAGCTCACTGCCATTGTTTGGCAGGATCGATTTCTTGCCTGGCCAACAAGTACGGCTCCTATGTAGGCCGACGACTGCGGTGCTTCTAGGGTGTAAGAAGTTATTAACAAAAAACGCTCAAAACCGTTCCGAGTAGCCCCGGTTGACGGTATATTGAAGTTTTTAATTTTATTTATTTTAAGCCATTAAGTGACTAAAAAATATCAAAAAACATGTTTCTGTGTGGATTTCAATGCTGTTAACATTGAGAAACTTCAAACTATCTCTCTTATCATGCATATATACTTGTTGAATAAATTATGATTTGGCTATATAAGGCACTAAAAATTGCTTCAAGAAGCAATTGGTCCATTTGTTGCAATCAAATGTATGGTTTACACAAGTCACTTGACATTGATTGCCAATGTCAAGTACTAGATATATGTTCATGCTACTAATTTACCATAAAAAATGTATCCCCATATTTATAGCTATTTTAAAAGTAAAATTCATCACCTGAAATGCGAATTTTCACATAAAATGTGAAAACTTGCATCACATGACTTTCCCCATTACTAGTCTGTAACTAAGTCTATTTGTGATAAGTTTTCTATAAGTTACAGACATAAAAGAAAATTAATATAGAACAAAATTATAGCACCAATATAGCACCATTCAACAATAACATTCAATTATTTAATTTTATACAATTTAATAAGAATAAAAGCATACTTAGTCTAGAATGGCCCAGTAAATTATCTAAAAATACTTGCTTCATGATGTATTGCATGCGAATCATATTTGGCACACATTATTATATCAAAACATTTTCCCAACTATCTACCCATTACAATTCACTCTTGTTATTGCATGGTTTGCTTTGTGAGATGGAATTTTCCATTTTTATACTGAATTGAAACAATGGCCAAGCATGTATATACATCATGGTAGAATGCCAAGACTGAAGGTACCTTTAGGTCTTAGTAGATCCACCATTAGTCTTTTTTAGTTACAGCCGCTGTTTGTCCACTGTTCTCAAAAACTGTTATTTTAAGCAATGTGTCATCATTTCCAATTAACTTGTACATTCTCTAAATAAATAATAACTTTTACTCCTTAATTGATAACATTCCATTATGCAATTGCTTATATTATACTGCACGTAACATATGGCATCCTAGCACAGACTATTGTATACAATCATCTCCAAATCTTGCTCAGAAAACACATGGATGACATGCTCATGCATGCCATGTAACATTCCCTAAAATAACTATTTTACTAATAACTGTTCCTTGTAACACAGAGTGTGAACTTTGGATTTGGATTTGGGGCGTGGTGACTCTGAGAAAAAGAATTTCAGGGTCAGGCCTTTGCAACGGCCATCAGCCACGCATCAAATTTTCATTTGTTAGTAAGAAGAAGAAAGGGAGACCAAGCCAGGTGGAAGCAACATTAAAGAGAAGAGGTGTGAAAGTTTGTGTTAAGGGTGAGAAGTAATCAAGGGGAAGAGAAGTTCAAGGGGAAATTTATTGGTTTATTATTGCTATTTGTTAATTATTGCACTGTGTATTTGATAATTATATTAGCTATGGGGCCTCGTAGGCCCTGAGTGACTATTTGTGATATTATTATGGTTTGGTTATTTCAATTTTATTATTATTATTGCTTTTTTCTTACACCCTCCCAGCCTCCACTCTAGCCAACCTCCTCCTCTCCCTCACTCCTCTACTTCCATCATATATATATTCATACCTTGGCATTTCTTTCATCTTGTACAATCTCAGGCTGTCCTTTCTTTCCATTCCTTCCTTCCATACTCTTAGACCACACAATTTCACTCTCTTTTCTATTACTTTCTTCCATTCTTTGACATCCCATTCAATACCTGTTGCACCCTGTACTGTTATCATCCATTCTTCTCTTGATCTATTATTCCCAGGGCAAGCAAATGTTTCATGTAGCTCACACTTTCGTACTATTGCATAACACTTTCGTTCCCATTTGCTCACTCTCAAATTCCACAGGTACATCTTGCGTGCTCAACGTACATCATCCATTCTTTCCAGTCGTACTTTATATCTCAATGCTGCTTTCATTCTTCTCTCTCTAAACGTACTCCAACCCATATCTGCTCTTAAAGCCTCCACTGCAGTCCATCTAGGGGCTCCAAGAGCCAGTCTAGCTATCCTATTCTGTACCACCTCCAATTTATTCAATTCACCATCATTCCATGCAAAAACATCCATTCCATACATAATCCCAGGAACTGCCACACTTTTCCATACCTCTCTTAGAACATCATATTCACTTGCTCTCACTCTTGCTGCACTGCCAAGTATTCCTAACCACTGATTTGCTTTACTTAAACTCAATGCTTTAGTTCTCTCACATCCTTTTTGATCAACACTCATTCCCAAGTATCTATACTCATTTGTCATCCCAATCACATTTCCTCCCAGCTGACACACTCTACCCACATCCTCAGCTGCTCCATTCACAACTAGCACCTGACTCTTTTCTGGGCTAAAGAGAACATTAAAGTCCTTGCCATACTCAGTTATACAGTCAAGCATACTCTGAAGTTCAACACCATTTTCACTCATTATTACTGCATCATCCGCATACAATAGCATTTTTAGTCTTTCATCTCCAACACACACTCCCACATCCATTCTTCTCAGTCTAGCAGCCATCTCTTCAGTGTACAGGCTGAAGAGAAGTGGAGACAGGATACATCCTTGTCGAACAGCCCTCACGCACTTCACCCAGTCAGTCTCTACATCTCCAAGCCCATATTTAGCATGAGTGTTCACATACATACTTTTAACTATCCTCACATACTTTTCACTCATCCCAATTTTTTCCAATTGGGATGAGCAAGATGTTTCCAATGTTTGTGCAAGAACACCACTATTGTTCTTGCACAAACATTGACTTTAACACAACTATAAACAAAAATTCACTCACTTAACAAATGAATGATCCACATGACATGTGGTTTTCATCTCAGCATGACATGTAGTTTTCAAGTAAACAACCTAAGCCAAGTGGGTTATTTGCTGGCCTATGCAATTCATACATACAGATGAAAAAAACTCTAATTGGATGCTTAAATTGATTGTTTCAAACTCAATTTCTGGTCAACAAACATTAGAATTTACAAGCTATAATTTCCTTTCTGTTGACCAATTATGATTTTTTAGTTCAGTTTGCCAGGGGTGGAATTCAAAACAAATAGCTTAGTGTACTGATACACTTGGATTTTTTCAAGTTGCTTTTTAGACTTAGGGTGTGAGGAAGACTAGTGGCAAACCAGAGGTTTTTTTTAGATTGAGTTCATTTTTAAATTCCTTATTTACTCAAGATATGAATTTCGAACCATCTTATGCATGATAATGCTGGTATCCATGATACTTTGCTGGTCTATATTTGCTTATAGGACTCAAAATTGAACTTGACAAAGAGTCTAAAACACTCACTGCATTGCCACTATGTGAGGAACTCACACTTCCCAGCCTGAGCACAACTGGATTTTTGTTGGAACTTTGTTCCAACAAAACACATTCACACACATTCACACAAAGAAGAATCTCACAGCAGGTCTCTATTTTTGATGGCTATAACCCTTCCTAGATCTGTGATGAGATTCCAAGAGCATGAAAGGTTCTTTAGATTTGAGCAAAACTCCCTACTCTGGTTGATGAAGAGCAAACAGTGCAAAATGAAATGCAAAAAATAAAAATTAAGACAACGCTCCCTGCAATGCATAATGCATGGAAAGACATGTAGTTTTTAGTTCTAGAGGTTTTTTGTAATTGATTTTAATACTTCAGCTATGAAGAAATCACACCTCCCAGTCTGAGCCCAACTCAATTTTTATCTGAGCCTTTTCTTCTTGCCACTCATCGTTTCAGTTTAATTTCTAGCTCACTCTCACCAGGCAGCGTTTGTTGTGTGAAAGAAGAGATAAAAGTATTATTTACTGTGCATCTTCATAGGGTGTTTACCATGCTGCAGCTCAGCAGGTATTTTCCCAGCCAATAAATTACTGCTGTGCATATTTTCTGAGGGATATCTCCCCCACCAAGAGCTGATACAAGGTTCCAAAAATATGAATTAGCCTTAGCCAACACATTTGATACGGTACCTACTCATTTAACAAAATATTGTGAAACCAATCAACTTTCACTGCTGAAAGATTGGTTAAGTAATGATTACATAATTTTCATACACCAGATAGTGTACATATAAAGATTCCATTACCCAAGGGCTTAAATATTGTAATTTTGTGCTGGGAATGTTAGCTTTGTGTAAACATACATATCAAAATTTCACATTGTAGAGTAGCTCCTGATATGTGTATCAGGAGCTTTATCATAATAACATTTTTTTGAATGCCATGATATATGCAAATGAAATATATAATCAGTGAAGACAAAAAATTAAATTCAATAATGAAACCTCAGTTTACATTTGCTTTTTGATCATAATCCTACTTTAGATTTTATTTATCTATGACAAACAAACAAAAAAATAAAGTATATAGTTCATCCAACTATATTAGAACAAGAAGCAATGATAAGTCAGGTTATTAAATTAAACTACAGGTATATAATTCAATAGACATAAGAAACATGTATCTCACTTGGGCAGAGCTTGAAGCGATAGTATGACTTAAGGCTATTGTGGAGCAGTGCACCACTTGTTGAATTCACGATGAACTCCATTGAAACAGCATCTACGCCATAGCGCTTGAGAAACAGGTCAATAAGGCACATCTCTTTTTTTGCCATGATGTTTTGATGAGTCAAGTTGATGCGTTTACTCCATGCAAAATTGCTGTGTATACTTGATACTAATGAACGCAGGTGAATTTTTACCTGTGGGAAACAAAACTAATAACATGAAACTATTTGTAAAATTATATAACTAAAACATTTTCATAATATTCCTTAAGCAAAAAAAAAAAAAAATACTATTTCCAATTATTTACAGAGTTATGCAAGTATTTTTAATGTTGATCAATTAAAAAAATCCCTGTAAAAATTAAACTAAAGATTTGTAAAAATGAGGTAATTTGTCTTTTTGGTAATTTTAAAAAGTTATTCATGATATGTTTTAGGCATGATATATATATATATAAAGAAAAAATGCTAAAAGATAATCAATTTTTGTAAAATGACTGATAGGCCCCAGTATATGAAAATGGAGAAATTTCCAAAAATCCAGGCTATCATAGACTCTGACAGCTACATTATAAAATTCATGATGGTGTTTAAGCAATACCGTCAACTGGGGCTACTCGGGACGATTTCGAATGTTTTTCATTCATAACTTCTTACCATGAAACATTTCATAAACAAGTTTAGGCTCATTTCAAAGTTCTTTGCAAGGGCTATTGCATGGCTTCTCCAAAAAAATTCCATATGCTATTTGTAAGGTGCCAGAAGCAAAAAATGTGTCCCGAGTAGCCCCATCAAACGGGGCTGCTCAGAACACTTGGACTAAAACTTAATTTTCAAACATTTGAAGCATGCAGAGTGTACTCATCCATTACTAACAGTACTCTGAAGTCCTCCTCTTTCATTGTAGATGATGTAGAGGTAGAATAATGACATTTTCTGTGATTTTTGCTCGTTTTTCCTTTATTGATATATTACCATATACCTACATTAATTACCGTATTATTGATGCAATATTACCGTATCCATGAACAGGCCATTGAGCATTTCAACTACCTTGTCCACTGCAAGCTTCATATCAGCAGCCTTATAGCATTTTTTCTGTATCTGTAAGCTTACAGGATGGCTTGTAATTTCACACCATTTTAATTGGGTTAAGTGAATTTACTATAAAAAAAAAGATCATGAAAAACATACCTGAAACAGAAAGGAATGTTTTAGTGACAACCATCATATGTTTTGGAGAAATAAATCATAGTTTAGGTCAATTACTTTTCATTCTATGATGCCTGGTGCACAATTCTATATATGACATTCTATGCACAATTTTGTGATGACTGACGATGCACTAATTTTTCGATAAGTGAAATTTTTTTTTGGCTGAGCAAGGTAAATGTAATCAATATTCTTTGTTTTTATGCAATTTTTTTCTTAACTGGAGCCTTTGCTAACTGAGGTTCTACTGTAAATGCGTTTTTGAGGGTGTCCCAAGTAGCCCCGCCGTGCAGAAATGGCTGCCATTTTTTTTTTTGGATTGAGGTATGTAAAATCCACAAATACAGTTTTCATGCTGACACTTATCTGCCACTTTTTACTAAGCAAAATTTTTTAATACGGCAAATATTTTTTTGAATACAGGCCTTAGCAGAAGTAACTTTTCAAAATATCTTTTTTCACCATTTTTTCAAAGCTAGTAAATGTAGTATTTTTGAACTTCCTTTATACTACATAGATAGGAAAAATGTTGACATTTACGCCACTATATTTAGTCTGGCAATATTCCAATTAGTTTTGCTACTAAAACAGTTTTACGCTGTGTCGGAGGACTGTCCCGAGTAGCCCCGGTTGACAGTAGCAGCAGAAAGCAAAAAGACAAATCTAGACTAACATTTATGCTTTGGAACAGGATTGCATAAGACCCATACCAGTTCTGCTACTTTCTGATTCTCTTTTGTTGAGATATTATGGATCGAGTTTTGAAACAATTCTGTGAATGATCATTGAACAGAGTCTTTATGAATCTTTAATGAGAATAAAAGCAATCATGCTATCTCAGCTGGCTATTCATGATATATTTGGAATGATATATTGGCATCTCATGCTGGTAGTGACACAATACATACAGTACTTGAAGATTAATATGTTTCAAAATTAATTTGTGAGCAGGGATGAAAAAATACAAAATTGTCTAACATACCTGAAACAAACTTCGGTTTAATCCTCTTCTTATGTAGTTTAGAAACATTTTTTGTTGAGGTACTGAGGTGAAGAAGACCTGATTTATTGAAAATGAGTCAGGACTGCCTTCCAAAATGCAGGTGCGGTAGTTTATCAGGGGGCGCAAGTCATAAAATTTGTACTCCTGCACAAAAATTAAAACATTGTGAATTCAATTTAGAGAGTATTAGAACTATTTGCAGCCATTGAAAGATTATCTGCCATTAAAACTCCAATGCATATACTTGAAAACTCCATTGGTAATTCCTGAATAATACTGTATATTGCTATTTTTACCACAGTAAATAGTAAAATTAAAATCGTACAATTTTTGTTAATGCTGTCATTATGAGTATTAATTTCAAGATAATAATAATAAATAAGAGAGGTTGGAAAATAATAATAGAAAAGAAGAGATGTTTGCTGTGGAGAAGTACAAGCCAGATTGGCAAGATGCAAATAATATGAAGTGGATGAAAAACATGGATTTAGAATGTGCATTGGGGAAGACAACCAAATGTCCTAGCAAATTTTGGACTGGAAGTGTTTTAGGCAACAGGCAGAACTGTAAGGTACTGTTAAAAATATTTGGTGCTGAGTATAATAATAACAAATGAATAAATAAAGCAAATGAAATATAGGTGGTAGTGATCTATTGTTTCAAAAAGATAATGTAATGCCATCAATGACTTATTTGTCATGGTCAGTATCATTTACCAAGCTGAATAAAATATGAAAAAATATAACTCAGTACTCACAGTAGTGAGTGACAGAGAGCGCATTTTCTCGTCAACAAAAACTTGAGGTCACGGACTCACGGACGGACGGACAGACAGACAGACAGACAGACGGACATGGCAAGCACAATAGTGCATTTTTTCCATAAATGAGAAAATGCGCTAAAAAGGAGCCACTTGAATGTCTTCTGGTAGACTAAAGGAAACTAACTTCTTGACAAAATGCAGTGGTTAATATTTTGTATAATTTGCAGCAAAAATCTTGCAAAACAACGAAAAATGATCAACAATAAGTAAAAATGAAAGACTCAATATTTACCTTATTTACCTACCTGAGTTAATTTTAGTTTTCCAACTCCACTCAGCCAAACTAGAATTTAAAATATCACCTATTAACTGACCTTTTGAAACTGATTCCAATTTTCATTAACAACTTGACTTTCCTTTTCACTAAATAATCCTTTATTATACTTGCTGTTAGGGTCATGCTTTCTTTTCCACAGTGGTTCAACCACAGCATCCTTATCAGCATCACTTTCCTTGCCCATGAACAATTTTCCAAGAAACTGNTGGCTTAATAGTGGGCTTGGATGAAACATTCACAATAACTGACCAAGGTCCAAGCTGAGTCAGTTGCAAAAGAGATGCAATATCTGCTTCATTACACTCCAACAGCTGAACAGCAATCAATTCTTTTCGGCGCTTGACTCTTATATCTTGCACATGCATGGTTGAAAATGGTAGAGCTTCCAATACTGAGCTGAGCTGCTCTAGTGAGGTTAACATACTTTTAGAACTATTATTTGCTGGCCGGATGAGAATTACCTGGGAACCTTTTTGCTCAGTTGTGCTGGTAGGCAACCCAACAACAGTGGTACTCTTCTGACTTGATGGCTCTATAAGCTCTGGGATTATTTTGGGCCGCTTCTTGGTCTTTCCCAACATTTCTCCATTTGCTATAAGCACGTGTTTGCGTTTCCAATGGACCACTTTGCATTCAGGTGAGTCACCATCCTGAGATAGAGATAGAGTTGAATTGTTTCCACTGGCAAACTCACTTTCACGGAAGTGTCTCAGTTTTGAATCTGTCATTTTCAGTGTCATCTCTTTCTGTCATCTGTAATTCAGTAAAATGTTTATCCTCAAATTAATTGATTATTGTAGGTTCATTTAGCACATGCACAATTCACTGAAACGTGGAGGTTGCACATCCTCTTTCAAAAATGGTCTTCTTTCTGAAGACACTGAAAGGGGTTGTGAATGATCAATGAAGTAATGCTGGAATAAATTTGCATACAGTATAAGTAGTCACAAAGCATATTAGATTATCCTATAGTGCAAACTAGTTTAAGGGGAGCATCTTGGTAAAAAATTTTTGTATTTACAGACAAGCCTTTCTGAAATCACTAATACAAAAGTTTTTGATTATATGAATTTTTTGATAAAATGAAAGGAAATGTGAAATGCATAGAAAATGAGGAATTGCTTCTTTACAAATCCCTCCACAGCACTCTAGCACCACCTCTCACAACACACAGCCACATACAAAATTAACAAAAGACAGCATTGACAAGCAGTGCCAACAGTTCAAATATCAAGAAATTTGACTTATTCCATATTAAAAGGCTGTATTGAAGTTAGGCTTTAAGTCATTAAGTGACTAAAAAATATTAAAAATTCATATTTCTGCATGAATTTCAATGCTGTTAACATTGAGAAACTTCTAGGTATCTCCCTTACCATAAAATGGGGTTACTTTGACCGGCAGGGTAACTTTGACCACTTTTCATTTTTTTAACAAAAACCCCCAAAACTTAAAAACTATTTGACACAGAAAAATTTTTTCAATGGCCATCAAAGGCCTAATACTGAGGCTACATAACACAATAGAAAGATTTAAAAAGTTCCATATCTAATAGGTTAAAAATCAATAATGTGACCCAGGAAAAAGAGCTATTATTTAAAGCCTGTCGGAGTACCCCCTCCAATTTTTTTATTTTTTGGTAAAATAACTCCTGGTTTTGATGCATTGTAGTAGAACTCTATTAGTTACATATGCAAATGACAAATTTTAGAAAAGTGTCATAGTTTGCAAATGGGGGGCACTGCCCCCCAATGGGGGAACTTTGACCACCTAATGGCAGCCATGACAGGGTAACATTGACCGGCTTGGAAATTAAGTTAAAATTACCTGTAAGAAATTACCACTTTCAAATGCATTGCTGCCTTCACTTGTTGCCCAGGTGACAAGGTAGCGCACCTTCAAATTAGCTCAGATTCGTTCCGGCAGCCGACCGAGCAACATCTCTAATCTTACCTGCGACCTGAGTATTGGACTTCACATCTTCAGCGTCCACAGGCTCCTAATCCTTGCTGAGACCTTTATTCTACTGTCTTATAATTTTGTGTGAATGTGGTTTC